CCCCTGTATCTGTCTCCTCTATTTCATGTCCACGTGATCTGCGGATGGTCAAGAGCCCCTGCTGAACTGGGACCAGCACCCGGCACAACCAGGAGGACGGGACATCCTTTTTGGTGTCTGGCCAAATTCGGTCGGGGGCAGCAGCAGCAGTAGGCGACTTCGACATCGTTTCGCGGATCGACCCATCCCATGCATAGCAACTCAATCGGCTCGAGGAGCTCGTGTGGCGTCACGCCTGTGCGATAACAGTACAGAACAGACTGAACAGCAAAGAGAACCTGACCTCCCGGATTTTTGAAACGCACTTTTAAACTAAGCGCAGGCACCCTAATTGCAGGAAATTACTATCACAAGCTGGTATTTAAGCATATGAAAACTTAAATCTCATATTAAATTCATGCCATTATATTGTGCTAATCCATATTCTTGTCTTAATAATTCCTATCGTGCAGCAGCATCCCTTGCTGCGGGGCTGCCGGCACCCGGCTGCTGGTGGGTGCGGAGCGAGGTGCGGAGCGAGGTGCGGAGCGTCTCGAGTCGCTGCCCGCCGCCGCTCTGCCGGCCTGACGACAGCCTGCCCCCTCCGCCGCCCCTTTTTCTGAAATGATTATGTAAATCGCGCGCGCGGGGCCGCTACGTGTCCTTCCGTCCGATTGACCTTATCACTCGTGCCATTTTATAGAGGGCAACAAAATAAGGACGTTCTGCGTGACGCACTGAGGGTGCGGCAGGTGCAGGCGGCGGCCGGGCCCGCGTGCCCCGCGTTAACGCGTACAGCCGTGTAGTGGCTCCGTTTTCATTACGTCCTTATTTTCTTTGTTTTAGCGCAATCTCTTTCTCTTCTACCCTCATCGTAATCATATTGATCAAGGTCGATAAACCTCGTCATGACATGGTGCCAATTCATTCCACTACTGCGCGGGACGTTGCAGGTGTCTCTTTTTATTTTTGTCTATTTGTGTTATTTTGTGGGAGGTTTTGTGAAACTTGGAAAAGGGTACTTTAGTTGCACACGGAGTGCGGTGCGGCCGTGATACACCAGGTGTCGCGAAGGTGTCCCTACTACGATGACAGATAAGGAAAGACCGTTTTTCCCTCTCTCTCCCTCCCTCTCGCTCTCTCTCTCTCTTCCTTCTCTAAAACAGGGTGGAGAGGTCGCCGCGTGGACAAGGGCACATCGACAGTCTCCCCGCGAGGCTAAACTGTCTCCAGCTCTCCGTGTCTCGGCCTCGGGCTGAGAGGCGCCTCTTCAGTATGGTGTACGCGCCACTGCCACTCCGCCTGTCGAAAGCGTTTCGCGCATCACCCTCGCGTCCCTCAATTTCACCCCCCCCCCTCCCCTCCCCCTATGGACAATGGGGCACCTCCGAGAGCCGTCACACCGACCGAAAAACAATTTCTTGTCCAGTAAATATGCATGTACCATGTATTTGTATGTGCATTGTGCAACACACTATCAAAGACCCGTCGATTTCTTAATTTGACAACTTGACAATCTCCCCTAGCTCAAGGGGCCTGCGTTTGGTTCGCCCTCATCCGCCTCGTGACCTCCGCGTGGCGTGCCGTGTCCCCCGGCCGACCTAAATGCCTGCTTAAGGGTCCCCTGTAATGGCTGCCAAATAAGGGCCAACGTTTTCTTTAGTTCCGCGTCACCCGCGCTTGCGCACTACTCCGCTACCTATTGCCAGTTCCGTTTCCTCGTGTAAATGTTTTTTCTCTCTCTCTCCTTATCTTTTCGCGCGCGGCGCCGGCCGCCGCCACGGCGCACTGCAGCAGCGCGCTGCAGCCTTTTGATCTGGGATTAAAATCTGGAGCGGCAATATGACCGCGCGGTACGCCTGTGCGCGCTGCGCTATGGGGCGTTAGGGGGAGAGAAGTAGAAAAAAACAGGCGTATCTGTTGGCGCGGGGCGCTGCAGTTACGTGGCTCCGCGGTCCCGCGCGGGTGGGGTAACGCGCCAGATAAGAGTCGGCTCCATAAATCCGGTTAACGAGGCGGCCAGAGGGTGGCGTCCTCATCTCTGAGCTGCCCGGAGGAGCTCCGCGGGGGGAGAAAACTATTCTAGAGCGCGTATTCGCACAAAGCCCTCCCCTCTCGGCCTCATTGTGCTATGGCGGGTTGAGCGGGCGATGCAGGTGACACGGGACACGTTAGTTACTATTTCGTCATCACATTCGCTCTTCTACAACTAAAAGACTTGTGGCACCCTCTTAATTTCTACAAATGGACATGATTTGTTTATTTTAAAGCGACAACCAAATTTACTATACACACATTCTACAGCTGTCACTCTCGTCTGTGTGTTAGTCGCGCACACACTCGCTTATTTATAAAGTAGTGAGTAGTGATTATTTTGGAATGGAAATAGAGGTGATGAATGGTTGGTTGAGGAGAGGTTATCTGTCCGTTGGATCTGCTTGTTGTCTCACCCCACCTCCCCCTTTCCTTGTGCACCCACGCATACTACACACACAGTGGCAATATCTGGATGAATGAAGCTCGTTGACCTCCCCGACCTCTTTGTGTGTGTGTGTGTGCGAGTGTATGTGTCCGAGCGAGTCCTTGGACGCCACGCCTAGCCAGCGAGCGCTGTCCCGGCAGCAGCAGCTCCCCCAGCTGGCGCCAGCGAGGTGTTCCGTACGCACAGCCCCGCCCCGCCACGCCTCGCTGACATGCGGCGGCAGCAGCAGTACCATAGAGCCCTAACCCCCAGCAGCAGTAGCCGCCGTTATAAATCCACCATTCCGCGTTATTTCGACGTGAAGGGAACGGCGCGCGCCACGCCCCGCCACGCCCCCCTTTCGCCGCGCTGACCTTCTGGTCAAACATGCTGGCTGCTGTCCGGCCGGCTGCCTGCGCCGGGAGGCTGCTGCTGCCGCTGCTGGCCGGCCGGGGCGGAGGGAGAAGGACCATTGTTCTCTCGCGTCGCCAACAGAACAATGTGCCGCACCCACGCCGATATTGCTGGATTTCCAGTCGTTCCAGCAGCGGCGGCGTGGCGGCGGCGGCGGCAGGCCTACTCCCCGGCTGCAGCAGTGTCATCGACACGCGCCCGGCAGCGGGAGGGGGCGCTGGGGAGATGTCTGCAGCGGACGGATCACTTTCGGGTTCCACTGCAGCGCGTGCGTCCGTCTCTCGACCGCAAAGCCGCCGCGCTTTGCATGGGGGTCGAGCTTTTGGTCGAGTTTCCCGTTCCTGGTGGCGCGGCGCCGCCCAGGCTCAGGTCCAGGGGGGGCCCTAGCGGCGTGCTTTGGTGGCCCCGAGGGCTCTGGGTGCACGACGTCGGCGGCGGGGCGGGGCCAGCGAGGGAGAGAGGTGGTCCAGGAGGACCTTGCCCGGGAGGCCCGGGAGGCCCGGCCGTGCGCGCTCGCGTTGCGGAGCCTGCGGTGCGGAGCGTCAGGGCGACTTGGATCACGCCTGGGCTCCGCCCCGCCCCGCCCTGCCCAGCGCAGGCATTCGGCCCTAACCTTGCGCGCTCTTGACGCCGCGTAGACACTTCGCTCACTTGGTGGACCATGCCTTTATTACTACGTCTGCAGCTGGCCCGCTGGGCCGCTGGGCCGTGTGATCATGCGGGCGACCTTTCTTTGGATAGGCTTCCGCTATCGATGCACGTGCAACGCGCGTGATGAAAGGGTCATCCAGAAAGTTCGCGTCCCTCGTTCGCCATCTATAGCTATAAGTTTCGGTGGTTTCGGCCCCTGCGAGCTGGCACAGCGCCTGGTGAGTAGGCAATATCTTGCCTCCAGCGCATACGTGCTTTGCGGGGTGGCCTACCCCGAGTCTTGCAGGCGCGCTGAGCTCCCGAAAGTGCGCCGAATGAATCTGAGGAAAACGGGCGTACTTTCTGGACGTACCCTCATATCGAGCGTGCGGGCGGGGGTGGGTTTTTTTCCCCTGTCGTCTCTGACCACATGGCGCCTTGCTACCCGAGCGGGTAGGCTGCCCGCCGCCCGCACGCGTGCATGCTCGTGCAGCCTGCTGGCCTCCCCTCGCCTCCCCCCTGCGCAGTCCTCTCGTGGGGACAGGGGCATGTGCACCGGAGGCTCTGTCTGGCTGCTGTAGGTGTTGCGGCGCGCGCCGAGAGCGCGGCACTGCTGCGGCCTTGATCTGCATGGCACTCCGTTGTGCCACGCCCCGCCCCGCCCCGCCACGCTACGCCACGCCGCCTCCCTAGACAGGCGTAGGCGTTGTGCACACGTAGCCGCTGCGATCACAAAGAACGCGGACCTCCCATCCCGGAACGGACATTTGAAACGATCAATGTTGAAAGTTGTGTCTCCACCCCAAAAAAACACGCCTCGTTCCTCTTTTCTGAAGAGTCGCTCGACTAGAAGGCGCCGTTTCATAATCGTCGTAATACACACGGCATAGTGCTGCGCGGATTTAGCGCGGAGCGTGCCGCCCGAGTCCACCGCGGCTTCCCCTTCCGTCCCCCTGCTTCCTCCCCTTCGCTCGTGTCGCTCCCTCGGAAATGAAATGGAAGCGTTGTGCACTTCGGCCGGATATGAGATTTTTCAAGCATGGCGCTGCTGCGCTGCGCTGGGCTGCGCGATGTGTTCGTTACCGCCGAGGCCTTGGGACCCGCTCGCGCTGCTCAACCCCAACCGCCCCGCGGGTCTTTTGGAAAAAGTCCAGAAAGTCATCCGGCACGCGCTCGCAACTTTCCGCCGCCAGAAGGAGACACGCGAGCTACAAAACTTTCCTGTTCGCGGGGAAAACACTGACTAACATTGCCATTTCTCGTTGTTCCAGGACCACATCCAGGAGGTGCTGGACAAATGGACACAGATCGACGACGAGATCTGGGCGAAGGTGATCGTCTTGGAGAGGAACAGGCGCGTGGCCAAGGCGTACGCGCGCGCACCAGTGCTCACCGTCAACGGTTCCGACGACGGCTTCGACGGATTTCGGTAAGTGGCGTTTGCTCCTTGCTCATGTCGTGTGGGTTTTGCACGAGTTTTGCAGTCTATAGTCTATGGTATTGCGCGCCCCGCCCATCAACACAAATACCACCTAGAATGGTCGGGGCGCGACGCCCATGGACGGCTACATCTAGTGACTTGTCATGAGATGGAAAAAAAATCTTGATCCTCGGTGAGCTGCTCTCCGCGGGGGGTCTAGGCTCGCAATGCATCTGCTACACAGTCGTACCAACCGGTGTCACGGCCGTCAGCCGACTGGAGCGGCGGGGCGGGGCAGGGCTTGGTGGGGAGGCAGAGCGCCCTTTTAGTGCGCGGCAGCTTCATTCCTTGCACCTTGTGCTCTCTGGCCCCGTGCACACTGCTTTTCTTAGAGTGCGTTTTCTGAATGTTTGCAGGATTGGTTTGTGCGGCTTCGACAACCCGATGAGGGACCAAAAGACTGAAGAGCTCAAACGGCACATCGGTCACGTGAGTGCATTCAATTTATACCGTTCTCCCCGCTCCGGCTAAAATTGGCAATATAATCACGCCCGTCACTTTGTCGCGGACTTGCAGGGCATCAAGGTAAAGATGGACGACCAAGGCAACATCCTGGTGAAGCGCGTCTCCAAGTGCAACGTGTACGTCAAGAGCACGGCTCCGGGCACGAGCGACGAGACGGCCATCGGCAACGACGTGCTCAAGCTGCCCAATTGTGCCCTCGAGATGGAGAAGCCCGTCAAGGTACGTGACGGAGAACAACCCGAGGGGTCCTTTACTATATGCAATCGTACATCGATTTTTTTCTGAAATTTTCATGACTTTTTCCTTGAGTTTTTTTTTTGGGGGGGGGATACTACTTTTTTAAGTGAAGTATTCCTTTAAACAACCCAGGACGGGACTAAGAAATACTTCATTCTTTAAATCTCCACAAATTCCCACGGCAAAAAAAAACTAAGGTCAAAACAATATTGGCACTGAACGAGGACAATTCTATCTCTGCGACTGGGCTCCTCTGGAGGCCCGGCTGGACGATAACAAATGACTGGCTGTCGCGGTGATGTGTACGGCGCGGCACCCCCGGGGGGAGATTTCACTACTTAACTTGTACGACTGCAGCCGGCCGGGAGACAATAGCGGCTGCACCGTGTGGCGCGGTGCGGCGCGGACCCCGTTTTCATTTGCCTATTGTCTTGACGGGCTGCCCCTGGTCGGGCGGCGGCCATCCGACGAGCGCAACGCCTCTGGTTGTGGTCTCAATCACTAGGAGAGCCGAGTGCGGCGCGCTCTGGGACTGTCCTGGTTCGACGCGACGCGCCTCTCTATCTCTCTGTCTCCCGCGTCCTCTCACTGCTCGGGCTGCCCTGGTCCCGGGGCGCGCCTGGCCGGGCAGGCGACCCAACGTGCGGAGCCGCGCGGCGGGCTTGCTTACTGCGTCCCTCGCAGGCGCCCCCTCCCCACTCGACTCGCCTATGCTGACCGTGCTCCCTTCTCTCTGCCCGCAGCTCTTCGACATGAAGAAGTTCCAGCAGAACGTGTCCCGCGAGCTGCGGCGCGCCTACCCCGACCGGCGCCGCCTAGAGTGCCAGTGCCTGTCGGCCGTGGGTTTCGTCCGCGCCGAGCCGGACCTGCTCGACTGCCCCATCTGGATCCTCGTCATCAACGTGGTCGCCATGGACATGCTGAAGTCCAAGTTGCCTCCAGGTGAGCGCCTTTGCCATATTTAACCGATTCTCCGTGATAAGGAATCCCCGCCCTCCGTGGGTATGGTCAACCTGCATTCCGTTATGGGTGTCCACAGGGAATTCCATTCCAAATGCCTCTCGACATCGCTTTCTAACCGCCCTGTTCTCTCTCTCTCTCTGCCCCGCAGTGAAACGCGTCATGGACATCCGCAACAGGCCGCGCATCCCCATCCCGGACGAGGACCCCTACAGCGTGGCGGGCAGCGGCGGCTCGTCGGGCTCCTCGTCGGGCGCGAGGGAGAGCGGCCAGCACGGGCCGCCGCCGGCCCACGCGCTGGGGCAGGCGCTGGGGCAGGCGCTCGGCCAGGCCCACAAGCTGGGCCGGCGCTCCGACAAGCCGCCCAAGCTGCCGCCCCGCGACAACACGCCTTACCCGCACGACATTCCCAAGGTGGGCAAGGCGGCCCTCGCTGCGGCCAGACGCTCCCTTCCCCAGATTTTCGTCACCAAGGTTTACACCCGTTCCTGCTTTTTTTCTTCCTGCGTTTCCTCCGGCTCGTGTCCTGGAGCCCGCGCTTTCGTACTGCCTTCCTCGCCGCTCTCGCCGGGGCGGGGGGGAGCCATGCGAAGCGCGGCGAGCGATTTGATTTTCCCTCACAGGAAGTTTTGAGTTGGAGATTAACTGCGGTTGGAAAATTCCCTGCACAAATACCTCCCTCCAAAGTTTCCATTTTTGGCCCCACATGCCACCACACCCGCAACCCAAAACTCCCTGGCTTTTGTGAAAATGTCGCTATTTTGCAATTAATCTTGAAATGGACACTTTGCTCACGCTTTGAGTTTAAATCTGCCCCTACTTGTAGCCTGACTACGATGACATCGAGGATGAGAACCGCCTGAAGCCCTTCCCTTCATCACGTGGCCAGAACAAGAAGGACGCCAAGAAGTTTGGTGAGTTTGAATTCCCTGTGAATGCAATTTTACACTACGTACCTCTATAACAGGCATACGCCATACCGATTCGGTCTTTTTCCCTCTCGTGTTCCCAGACGACCCGTACTACTGCGGCCTCCGAGCTAGGGTACCCAACTTCGGCAAGTCCAAGTCCGGCAAGGAGCAGCAGCAGCGCGAGAGCCGGGACCAGCAGCAGCAGCAGCGGCAGCAGGAGCTCCTGCACTCACTCCACAACCCCTACGGGCGGCTGCCCCTCCCGGGCAACCCCCACTTCCTCCCCCCGCCCCCTCACCAGCCCCACATGTGGCACGCCCGCTCCTACGACAGCGGCATGGGTAAGCGGATGATGACGAGCAACTGGATCTTTTCCCACTCTCCTGCTTACCTGGGTTATAGACACTTTTCCCGGTCAGTGGCGGTTTTTATTTGCACTATTATTCATTTCCAGAGACTGCTCCAGTCCAGTTTCCTGTAGCACTGCGTGTATTGTGTGCACCTGCTACGCACTCCTCTCCGCATGACTCGCCTCACACGCCGTCGTTGCTTGTGTTGCAGATTCCGAGGCCCTAGACTCCCCTTACAACCACATCTACGGCCGCCTCCGCATCCCCACCAGGGCGTACATCCCCCCGCAGCCCCGTACAATGTATATCGGCGAGTGGGACTGAGCGACCAGCCGCGGCCCTTCTCTTACTTTCTAATTTAAACCTCCTCGGCTGTAAGCGCCAGAGGAAGTCATGCCATCGAAGCTACGCTGCGCCTCGCCTCGCCACGTCAGGCAAGAGCCCGAGCCCTCTGGTCATTACGCAGGGTGGTCAGGGGGAGGCCCCGCCAGGGCGGGCGAGTGATCCTCTAGTGCTGTGCAGTGGACAACCATAGGTTTAGATGTAAATCGTAATGTTCGAGTGTGAGTCATGTTTAGGAGGGATGTCTGTGATGAGTATAGATGCCTCAAGATTGTTAAGCTAAGAATGTCACGTCCAGACCTCTCTCTGCTGAGAGGTTTGGACGAGAGGATTTAGATTTAATGAAAATCGAGATTACCGTACTGATTTTTATCATTTCAAATTTCATTGTGTTGCTGTGTTACGGCAATACTGACAGTTTTAATTATTT